TTTTAATGATTCACAAACAGTTAACATTTAATGAGAATTAAACCAAACAGTCTTAACGATGATAACAACAGTAATCACAATGCTAATTGTGAAAGTGATGCTTACCTTGAGAATATCATAATAGTATTCACCTATAATGATATCGGTTATAATAATAAAAATGATAATGATAATTTTCTTTTTCAAATGACGCACCACACTTTCCACAAATGTATATTAATGCAGTCATAATCATCATCAGTAAAGTGCATTGCAAACACGGAACAAAAGGCATCATACCCTCGGAACGTCCTGGAAGGAAAGTGATCAACAAATACCGATAACGAAAAAGAGAAGAACAAAAAAACAGACCTATTTTGACCAATCATGAGAAAAATCCGACCAAAGTCCAGCAATGACAGAAATCAAAATCTAGGCAAAAGCTAGAGTGAGAGAGAGATGCTTCTACATGAAGTCAAAACGACCTGACCTTAGACGTATCCTTATAATTTCATAAATACAACGTAACCTCAACTTCGATAAACACACTGTAATAAATAAGCTAGACAAACGAGAGCTTTCGATGATCGACGATTACGTTGGGTTACACCTTGGTAACAACTTGGAACTGAGAAACTGGCCCGGTTGCGCCTGTCCCGCCCTCTGGGACCGAGAGGGACCCGTTATGTAACAATCCACACATCTTTAGGCTTTATATAGCTTATCATTTTTACCTTCCATTACCAAATAAACAATGACAAATATATGTTGATAAAAGATGTAGACTTTGTTTGTTTTTTTCTTGTTTTAGGGGGGGTTTCGCTGTCTGTTTATTTTCATATTTTATACGTTTATTGAAAGCGAATTCAAAACTTTTAAAAATAGTTTCTTCTTTTTAATGGGAATCTTTAGTGTGATTTTTCAGAAAGTATTAAGCTGGACGATTTGGTTTTGTAATCCTTTCTTTTGCATAAAATCGTTCAGTTAATAGCAGATGCTGACGTGAAAAAGGCCGAAAAAGCAAATCAGTTAGGAGGAAAACAGATCAGCTGACAAAGTTGACATCTTTCACCATTTCGCGACCCACAGAGTGAGCTGCAAAATTCACTATATGCAAAAGGGTACATAGTCTTAACGGTCTCATGGGAACAGCTGGTAGCACTTATATGAAAAGGGGATTCTATATACAAAATCACCTTCTAAATAGTGAAGGATCACACAGTATAAACATAATTTCCATTCTGAAGGCAGTTGAGACGCGCGAAAAAATAAATAAATAAAAAAAATCGCGAATCAGTAATCTTAAGTTTAATGCTATTCAAAAATTTTCAATATTTTTTTAAACATATATAAAAAAAATCTTATCTTTTTTTGTGCTTACTAGATACTGATTAGCATAGCAAATTTAGTAGAAATGTTAAACCGTCTGGGATACTGCTTTACTCCTATTGATTCACCGGCGTAGTATGTGCTAGTGCAGGTACCTTTCACTCTAAAAACAAACAAACTTTTTAGTCAGCTGTAGAGAGGAGAGTATCGTTACCCCAGTCCATCCCGGTGCAGATGTAAATCCAGAAGGACCAGAGATGATTCTTGACCTCGTCGATGGATTGGAATTAAATTTTTGAATTATCCTTTATTTGATTTTTTTTTTTTAAACGGTCTTTCTCCATTTCGAAAAATTCTCTCATACTCTCCTACAGGACCATTTTTTTTCTTTTCATTTTTTGACCATATCGAGGCACGTACACAAACACACACACGAACAAATTCCTTCAGTTCGACATCAGTTTGGACTTTAAAAAATTATGAAAAGAAAAGATGAATAAGGTTCCCTTGGCGGCTGCAGCAGATGGTTCCACACGGCAAGTCATACACCCAGAGGGGTAGAGAGGGGTACCGCGGCCAGAGGTGTGGGGGGGGAATGATGGTTGGTCGTCCTAGATAGGAGACGCATGTAGGCCTATCATTTTGCATAGCGGCGGGAGCACCCACAGTGTCACCTCTACAGGCTTACTGTAGGATACACTTGCCTGAAAAAACGGAAAGAGATTAGATCGGCATTCGACGAGAGGGGAGAGAAAAATAAGTGATTATTATTAGTTCTTTGTTGTATAAGGAATGTGGGTTGGAATTGACGTTAGTTCTTCATCCTAGTCATTTTTTTTTCTTGTTTGATCATTGTAACTGACTGTAATTGTTATTTGATATTTTTGTGATTAAGAACTATAATTGTTTTCATTGTTTGTGATTGGATGGGCGGGATTTAAAAGGATTAGAATGTATGTTGGAGAGATAAGAGAAAAGTGTTATGTGCACGGTATTCATGCTGTACAGTGGCTTCCTCACACACACACACACACACACACACACACACACACACACACACACACACACACACACACACACACACACACACACACACATTCCCTTTCTCTCTGTCTCTCCCCCCCCCCTCTCTTCTCTTTCCCCTCCTCTCTCTCTCTCGCTCTCTTTCTCTCTCTATCACTCCCTCCCTCTCTCTCCCCCTCCCCTTTTTCACATCTATACCCGTTTCAGTCTTTATCACGGTGCATTGAATAACAACAATGTTCCCGGTAAAGTGTATGTACTCTCAGTGTACTGCACGTATACGTTGTTAATACACACTATATATGTAATGTGGCATAGTCTGCATGTGGAAATGAAAATTTTGGGCTTGATTAAATTTTAAGGTGTTTCTGCTTGGTCATTTGTAATGGAAATGTATCAGAAACAGTAATTATATTTGCATTGTTCTTCAGTATTTCAAAATTGTAAGCTATATCTCTGATTAAAAAAAAAAACATCATGTAACATATGTAAAATACATACATTTATATGTAAAAAATACATTTTAAATATTTCACTCGCATTACTGCGATATTAGACCTAATTCAATTTGAAAGTTTTCTTGCAAAAACACTTAAATCTCTATAGCACAAACAGTTCAGCAGTGACACCTAGGACACTTCTACAAAACACATATGTGGTGAAAACAGTGTGATGCAGAAGAGGGAATAAACACCAACACAGCAGAACAGTCAACGGTTTTTTTTTGAACCAATAAGTGGTTTCTCTCTCACGATCATATCATTAGATCTAACACATTTAATTTTCCGTTATACGTGGCAATGGAACGTTCATTATCAATCTGAAGTTAAAGAACTGGGGGTAAATAATTAAAAAAACGTAAAATAACATACATTGGGTATATATTTTAAGAAATGAAGCATCAAATAAAGGTTTCTAATTGTTAAAGACGTACACATACCAAAGTCCACTGCTGGATACAACAAAACCAAAACACAAACACACATACACACACAGGAACGCATGCACACACAGACGCACACACACAACCGCAAACGCTCGCACACACACTGAAGACGAACCAAACTGCCATACAGTTATTAGATAGATATATATTTTTATTATTCTTTAGATATCGAATAAAATAAATGAAAAAGATGTAACACCCAAAGCGAAAGAGATGAGGTACTGCGCGAACACGAATTCTTGCACATTTTTACACACGGATCAGCAGAGAAAGAGAGATAGATTAGCAACATCTGTGATGAGAAGAGGGAACTAACGAGCAGTCAAGCCCACACAGCAGTAGTTACAGGTTGATACAGTTGTTACAGGCGACAGAGAGAGGTAAAGATGACACGCACACAGAGATAACAACAATGGTGACAGTGTATCGAGACAAGACGGTTTATCATAATCTTTTGATGACGTTGTGAATCGGTCAGACAACAATCACTATCTTATGTATACAGTGTTCTAATTCTAAGCTGATTTTCGTAGCGCGAAGTCAATTAATCTAATTGTCAATCTGTTGGAAACTATCATCAGTATTATTGTTATTATGCTTATGAACGCAGTAATTCTAAAATTTACTCCAGCGCATCTTTATAAAAACTAAAAGCCTGTACTTTACTTGAATTGGAAAGTTTATCATTTGGAAAGTCAGATTACAGAGGCAAAATTCCGACGTATAAGCAAGCAAGAATTCTAAACCGGTTTAAAAGGTCTAAATTAATACGATTCTTTATAACGAAAACTTACAGATGGATATTACATTAATCTTTACGTGAGTGGATAGAGACTCTTACTTTGTTAATATAACTTAGAAGACTTACAGATGGTTAGTACTTTTCGCAGGTATGTACCAAGATCAAATTACAAACACGAAACAAAGTGAAATTATTCGTAGGACATAACAAAAAGATCTAAAACAATGTCAAATTCGCTTGGATACGTCACAGAAAACAGTGTGACACAAAATACATTTCCAAACTACGCAGTGCAATTGATGCAAAGAAAGAATGAAAGAGAAAAGCCAGAGAAAGAAGTTCGAAAAAAAGGAATCAAAGAAATAAGAAACCCAAATAAAAAAAAAAAATAACATCTTTGCACAAAGGGGGGAAAAAAAGGATATAAAACAGATCTATGGACACGGAAAAAACATTTGAGAGCGGATGAAGGGAAATTGTGCCATTTGCCATCATAGAGAAATTTCACATGGAACTACGACAGAGCCAGTGAGGGGTTCGAATGAGGAACATTAGTGTGAGATCTGAGTGTACGAAGAACTTCTTCAGTCTCTCGATAGGTTAACATGGAAGCGTCACTTCAAGTGATATCTTTATCTAAGAGATCGTTTGGTTTGTTAATGCAGGGCGATGACTGTTTTTTTGTTTGTTTGCTTCTTTGTTTTTTACGTTTATGGAATATTTATGGTGATTAGAATTAAAGATTTAGAGGGGGGGGGGCTACGAAGCAAGTCTGGAGTCAATTTTTTTTTATCGATTTCTTTTTATTAAAAAATGATTATTAAAAAAGAGAAAACGCCCTGCATTAAGTGGACGTGACAAAAAAAGAAACTTGAGTGTCGGCTATGGAGAGATCTGACAGAGAGAGAATTTTGCAGTCAGCTTAAGAAGAGCTATGTATATATATATATATGACAAACATCTTACTTGATCTGCAACTTA